CGAGCTGTGTTTAAGTCAATTTGATGCGTGCTTGGCATGATGGTACTCTTGGGTCCAAGTTTAGTGAGAGCAAGTTCCCGAATTCTACATGTTTTGGCCCTTAGGCTCTTTTATATTAGCCCTTAGGCTCTTTAAGTTGGGATAATTCAGCCTCTAAAATGACTATAAATTTTCCCTCTTTTCGTCTAAAAGACTTAGTGAAATGTTTTAATGCCTTAGCATGTGTTTTTGTACCCGTTGGGTTTTTTGACAGTTCAATCGATCAGAACCCGTTTGTGTTAGTACCTCTTGAGGTTTTTTCGAAGGATGATATTATTGAAGCCTTCAAATTATTCGAGGGATGATTTTATCGAAGCCTTTTTTTATTTGCTTTGCCAAGGGTAGCCTTATTTAACCGTTTTTTCAAAGTATTTGAAGGCCTTTAACTTATGGAAGAAGTCAGACATCTTTGAGCCGCATTATTTCGGCCGTAGCCTTTTTATATGACCGTAGTCTTTAATATTTCCGTAGCCTTCAGGTGTGTCTCTTGGACTTATTTCCTGATAACCTTTCAAACTTGTCCGAAAGGTTAGTCCCCGAGTGTGAGCACCTTGGCCTTTGAGTCGGGGGATGCCTCTTTGAGTTCTTATAAATTCAAGTTTAGATGTTTCAATGTATTGACTGTCGACGAAAGTCCCCGAGTATTCGAGGTGTATTCGCGTTTCGGCCCTTGAGCCATTTCTTGCAGAATCACAAGTATGGAGTTCGTATAATAGCATATTTCTTTGAGACACAAAGTGTTTTGATATAGAAGGAATGCTTCTTTGAATAATTGATACATGCGTACATGTTTTGCCATTGTGGCTCGAATATTTTATATGGAGATGGTTAATATGACCGTTTGGCCCATTATAAAGTTTTCCTATCGAGGCCCTCTTTGAGTTGAAGTATTTTCCTCGAAATTATAACCTCCAAGGGTGATGCCCCCTAGTATTTGAGGTTGATTGAAAAGAAACCTTGGATATTGTTGAATTCTCCTTAGGTAGCACATAGTTGTTGCCTTATTAAAAACCTCAACGGAAAAACCCACTTGGGATAAAACCCGATCTAAGGGAAAAAGAGTGCAACGCGTGCTTTAAAACCTAAGGTCTTCGTGTAGAAAGGTGCCCTCGACATCTTCGATCGAACACCTGTAATGAGTTAGTTTTAGATACAAATGGAAAAAAATAGAAGGTCATACCTTAGTAGTAGTATCGCTTGAGTAGTGATACATTCCAATTTTTTGGCAATTGTTCGCCTTCCATTATGCCATGTTTGTAAGATCCTTTACCGATAACTACGATGACTCAGTATGGTCCTTCCCAATTCGGGCCTAGTTTCCCTTCATTCGGGTCTCGAGTATTGAGGGTGACTTTCCGTAGAACTAAATCCCTAATTCCGAAGTGTCGGAGGTTGGTCCTTCTATTATAATATATTTTGATCCTTTGCTTCTGCGTGGCCATCCAAACAAGTTCATATTCTTGTTTTTTGTCTAATAGTTCGTGGCTAGTATTCATAGCTTCATGATTTGATTCCTCCGATGCATGTTGAAATTTGGCGCTGGGTTCCCCGACTTCAACTAGGATCAAAGCCTCAGAGCTGTATACTAGGGAGAACGGGGTTGCCCCCGTGCTGGACTTTGATGTCATTCGATATGCCCAAAGAACCTCGGGCAAAAATTCCCTCCATTTCCCTTTAGTGTCGTTCAACCTTTTCTTCATGTTTTGAATAATAGTCTTGTTTGTTGATTCGGCTTGCCCGTTTTCGGTCGGATGATATGGCGTTGATAAAATCCTTTTTATTTTGTGTTCCTCGAGGAACTTCATTACCTTGCTTCCAATGAATTGCTTGCCGTTGCCGCATAAGATTTTGGCAGGTATCCCAAAATAACACATGATGTGGTCCCAGATGAAGTCAATAACCTCTTTTTCTCTGACCTTCTCGAAGGCCTGTGCTTCCACCCATTTAGAAAATTAGTCAGTCATAAACAAAATGAATTTAACTTACCCGGGGCAGTTGGTAGAGGACCGACGATATCTATTCTCCATTTCATGAAAGGTCATGGTGACAAGACTGAGTGAAGTTGCTCTCCGGGCTGATGAATCATCGGTGCAAACATTTGACATTTATCACATTTTCTAACAAACTCCTTAGTGTCTTTTTCCATGCTATCCTAGTAATATCCTGCTCTAATAATTTTGCGAACAAAAGACTCGGCGCCAGAGTGATTCCCACAAATGCCTTTGTGGATTTCTCGTAGAACATAATCGGTGTCTCCTGGCTGCAAACATACCGCCAATGGTCCATCAAACATCTTCATGTATATTGTTCCATCTTCATTAAATGCGAACCTAGCAGCCTTGGTTCGTAGAGTCCTTGATTCCTTATGATCCGATGAAAGCTTTCCATTTTTCAAATACTCGATATACTTATTCCTCCAATCCCAAGTCAAACTTGTAGAATTTATCTCGGCATGAGCCTCCTCGACCACAGATCTCGATAATTGAATGACAGTCCTTAGGACAATATCGTCTTCTTCGACTGATGATCCCAGATTTCCAAGTGCATCGGCCTCACTATTTTGTTCTCGAGGCACATGATCTAGGATCCACTCCTTGAAGCGGTGCAATGTCACATGTAACTTGTCCAAATACCTCAACATTCTATCCTCTCGAACTTTGAAACTTTTGTTTACTTGGTTCACCACCAACAGGAAGTCGCGCTTAGCTTCGATGACTTCTGCCCCCAAGCTCTTAGCTAGCTCGAGACCTGCATTCATGGCCTCAAACTCGGCCTCATTGTTAGTTAACTTAGAAGTTTTGATAGATTGTCTAATTGTGCTTCCTGTGGGTGGTTTAAAAATAATGTCGAGCCTGGACCCTTTCACATTCGAGGCACCGTCTGTTAAGAGGGTCCATACCTTCAATGTTGTACCCGATTTCAATAGAAGTTCCTTTTCTACTTCTGGTACGAGGGTTGGCATAAAATCAACCACGAAGTCAGCTAAAATTTGAGATTTGATGGCCGTTCGGGGTTTATATTCGATATCGTACCGCCAAGTTCGACGGCCCATTTGGCCAACCAGCCTGATAACTCAGGCTTATGCAAAATATTTCAGAGAGGATAAGTGGTTAACACACATATTAGGTGACATTGGAAATATGGCTATAGCTTTCTAGATGCGCTTATTAATGCAAGTGCTAATTTTTCAAAGTGTGAATATCTGGTTTCAACATCTCCTAGAGTTCGACTTACGCAATAGAAAGGGAACTGCGTACCTTGATCTTCTCGAACTAGTACCCTACATACCGCTATCTCAGACACTTCAAAATATAAGTAAAGCTTTTCATCTATCTTTGGAGTGTGAAGCAGAGGTGGGCTCAATAAATATCGCTTTAATTCTTCCAATGCTTGTTGACATTTTGTGGTCCATGCAAAATTATTTTTCTTTTTAAGTAGTGAAAAGAACCTATGGTTTCGATCTGATGACCTCGAAATGAATTGGCCCAAGGCAGCTATCTGTCCGGTTAGCCTTTGTACAACTTTCACACTGTCTATGATGGTGATATCCTTGATCGACTTAATCTTATCGGGGCTGATTTCGATTCCCTAATTTGAGACCATGAAGTTGAGGAATTTTCCTGAGCCAACTTTGAAGGAAAATTTTTCGAGGTTATGTTTCATGTTGTATTTCCTCAAGATTTTGAATATTTCCTGCAAATGAATCAAATATCCCTCTATAGGGACTTAACTAATATATCATCAATGTAAACTTCCATTGATTTCCCTATCTGTTCTTCAAACATTTTATTAACTAGGCGTTGGTATGCAGCTCTTGCATTTTTAGCCCGAAGGGCATTAAATTATAACAATATGTTCCAAACATAGTGATAAACAAGGTCTTCTCCTGGTCCTCTGGGTTCATCTGAATTTGATGTACCCGGAGTAGGCGTTGAGAAAGGTAAGGATCTCGTGGCCGGCCGTGGAATCAATCATGCAATCAATATTAGGCAGTGGAAAGGAGTCTTTAAGGCATGCCTTGTTTAAATCCTTATAATCTATGCACATTCTAAGTTTGTTCCCCTTTTTAGGGACTACAACTACATTAGCTAACCATTCGGGGTATTTTACCTCCCTAATAGACCCTATTTTAAGAAGTTTAGTTACCTCATATTTTATGAATGCATGCTTCACCTCGGACTGGGCCTCCTTTTTTAGTTTAGCGATTTGAACCTGGGGTCGAGGCTTAGCTAGTGTGTTTTTATTTCCGGTGGGATTCCTGTCATGTCTAAATGGGACCAAGCAAAACAATCCATATTATTGATAAGAAATTGAATGAGTTTTTTCCTGAGTTTGGGGGTTAACCCCGTTCCCAAGTATACCTTTTTCTCAGGCATGTACTCGATCAGTATGACCTGTTCTAGTTCCTTAACTGTTGACTTGGTTGCATCTGAATCTTCGGAAACAACGAAAGTTCGAGGAGTAAGGAAATCCTCTTCTTCTTCTTCTTCGATTACCCGTTCCTCCGATTGGGTCGAGGATGGGGATGGTGATTGCTATTTGGCCGTCTACTTATCTTTGCTGCTCGATTTTTCCGAGGTCAAAGGCATTGGTATCGGTGTCACCTCATCGACTACAAACATTTCCTTTGCGATGTGTTATTCTGCGCAAACCATTTTCACACTATCCACTGTTGGGAATTTCATCATCTGATGAAGGGTTGAAGGTACTGCCCTCATGTTGTGGATCCATTGTCACGCCCCAACCTGGGGAGGCGTGGTTGGCACCCGGTGCCGTATTGGACCAAACGAACCACTCTATAACTCATTTCTTTCTTCTGCAACTATCATGGGCCAACATGGCCACAACTCGTAATGTACAATTGTAAGTGGGCAAATGTTATATCAATGAACCATCGTTCATAAAACATGAATACATATGGGCCATCAAGGCCTCTGACATATTGTACATAATAAACCTGTGTCTACAAAGCCTCTAAGATTATTTGACATAAAATGGGATAGGGTACCGGCCTACCCATAAGTCTGTAGAAAAATTCTGACACAATGACTCATAAAACTCGGTTGCACTCCGAATGAGATGGAGTCTTACCGATCCTTAGCTGAATGCTGACCTCGTCTACTATGAGGGCTTGTCAAACTGTTTATCTATACCTGTAAGCATGAATGCAGTGTCCCCAGCAAAAGGATGTCAGTACGAATAATGTACTGAGTATGTAAGCCAGAATTGAAACTTAACAATAAGTCAACATTAATTAAAGACATGGAAGAAATATAGAGTAAATGACTCTACCTGTAAATCTGGATGGCTCTGTAAATCATGAAATATTTATAAGGTCATGCATATGCGTACACATGTCATGTAATTCATAGGTTTGTATGTACATAACATCATCAAGCCTTTGAGGGCATCCCATCATATCATTTCAGCCGCTGCGGGCAACATCATCATTGTATACCAGCTGATCATGTGGTGGTGTGTATATAACGCCATAACCTTTTCCCATATCACATATACATATATTTACATATATATGCGTATATAACGCCATAACCTTTTCCCATATCACATATACATATATTTACATATATACGCGTATATAATGCCATCTGGTGCCACTGTGGGCGAAATCATCAACGTATACCATCTGATCAGGTTNTCTCGGAACGTCATAAGACTATTATACCTCTGACTAATATCGTGAAATAAACTTTTTTCAACTTTCGTATTTTTCTGAGACCCATGAATTGACGATAGAATAATAACACATATGGGAATTCAAGAATATAGACACTCTAATACTTCTAAGAATAGAGTTATTTATGGAATTGTACATTTTCTCATTTCGTTCGCATCGTATGGATTATGCCAAAAGAAAGAAGGATTAGCCCTAACATACCTGAGCCAATTCTTTTAACAATCCCTCTAACATGTGTGAATTGCGACAATTCGATCTTCAGATTTAATGTTAATGACCTATGAGAAGTCACTAATGGCCAAGATGACCATTCCTCAATGAGGTTTGTTTCCCACTTTGATTCAGAGCCGAGGCTAGCTTCTGCTTTCGCCAGTAGTAGTGAGACAAAGGGTAACGACATCGAAGAACTATCTTTTGCTTCCTTCAGACTTCTAATAGCAAGTGATAGAAACTCTGAATCGGACTGTTGTCTGGCAATCTCCATGCAAATAGCACCATGGCTGAGAAAAAGGCAACTATCGCCACCAGCTAACGAGCAAGCTTGCACAAGTGAGTCTTCTGCGTCAATAAATTCCTCATTCAAAACAGCAGTTAGACCTTGAACCAAATTATATATAGCAATCCACATGTTCCACGAAGTCTTTATTTCCTTGCAATACTCTTGAAAGGCCAAGGATAGTGAACTGGAATCTGAGTGCAGCTTGTATTGACTTTCAAGAAACTTTAGGCAAATCTGACCAATATGATAATCAGTTTTGAGCTCCAAGCACCTAATGTACCCTTCATGAAGCCCAATATAATTACCTCCGCAGCACACTGCAGAAGCTGGAAGAAGACATGAAACTCCACGTTTTATTTTAGTGGATTTTTGTACTTAATGATGATGACTAAGCCACTAAGGAATCCTCCAAATTTGCCACCTTTCAACAAGATTTAGTTAACCATATAAGGCTGCCACGTGGGGGTGGGGAGGGGAATTTTTAATATTTATCCCAATTTATTAGTTAATTAGGTCATGTCTCGTTTTCCGGAAATTAATCAATTACCCACATAATTAATAATTATCCCAAATTACTTAAAAATTACTCACTTTTAATACATACTATACACCTAACTATCATGGTCATGTGGTATCATATAAAATAAATACATACACTATCATTTTATTAAAACGTCCATGTTAAAAAAATTACATATTTTCTTAACTTTTAATTTTTCTAATCTCCTATAAAGAGTATAAATTTTCCTATGCTTAATTCTTAAAATGGTAAAAAAGTATAACCTTCTTTTAATTTGAGAAAATAATTTTTATCTTTATAATAAAGAAAATCTCATAAATAAAAATCACGTTAGATGGGTATGTAAATTTCACAAATTAATATCAAATGGAGGAACAGAAAAATATCCAATATTCCATTTTTTTATGATACTTTTATTCTTTCTAGTCTTTAAAAGATGGTACTATCATATATGTGAAAGATCTTTAACTTGAAAAAATTTATTTCACCTTTATATTAAATATAATTAAAATCATAAAGATATTATGACACGTTTAGAATTATAAATTCTAAGTTGAGTAATACTTTTGATACATAGGAAAATATTTCTCAAACATCTAGTTCAACCAACTAAACTGATAAGTACTATGGAGTATCATAAAATGTAACAAGAGGTATTAGAAAAACAAATATTGATGTTACAAAACTTACGGGGTGTAACATCCATGGCCTCCCGAGTAGTGCATTATATCTCATGTCGCCTTCGATGACATGGAATTTGTATCTTGGATGGTCTCGGCCACGTTCACGGGCAAGATGATCTCCCCCTTCGTTGTTTCGCTTGCCATGTTGAAGCCATTTAGGACTCGAGATGCAGGTACAATTTGGTCGTGCAGGCCGTGCTGCTCTACGACCCTCGATCTAATTTGTTTGCTGAGCTACCTGGATCCACTAGAACATGTTTAACTTGAATTTTATTTAACAAAATAGAAATTACCATGGAGTCATTGTGAGGTTGAGATATGCCTTTTGCTTCCTCGTCATTGAATGATAGGATGCCTTCGGGCACATAACTCCGAGTCCGTTTTTCTTTGGTGATCGACACCTTGGTGCGTTTGAATATAGGACCTTGTGGAACATCAACAACCCCAACGATCATATGAATGACATGTTGCGGTTCTTCCTACTCATTTTTTTTGTTTGCATCTCTTTCCTTGAAGTAGTTCTTAGCTCGATCACTGAGAAACTCTCGAAGATGACCCTCGTTGAACAACCGAGCTACCTCCTCCCTCAACTACCTGCAGTCTTCGGTCCTATGGCCATGTGTGCCATGATATCTACACATCAAGTTTGAATTCCTTTGAGAAGGATCGGTTTGTTTAGGCCTGGGCCACCTGGTGTGTTTTATTCTTACAATAGCTGACACGATCCCTGATGCATCTATGCTAAAATTATATTCCGACAACCGAGGTGCTACTACGGGATCGGTATGTTAAACCATGCTTACTCATAAGTCCCCGAGAATTCTGTCCTCGATCGTTTCTCTGATCGTTCTAAGGAGGATTGCGCCCCGAACCATTATTTTTTCGATCCGAGACATATGCCTGATACTGTTTCCTATTTTACCTTGGTTCTATGTTTGTATCACTCGGGGCCTTAACCTCCAATCCATTTGGATAAATTGAGCCCGAGGGGGCTCCCAACTGGTCATCCTCGACCTCAATCTTTGACTGATAACAATTATGTTCATCTGCCCAAGTAATGGCTGGATACTCGACCAGATTTTGCTTTAACTGTTGTGACGCGATCAAACTCCGCTCATTCAACCTCTGCATAAAAGCTTGTAGTTCCCAATCATCTGCGACCATTGGTAATTCCATTCGCTCTATTTGAAATCAGGATACGAACTCCCTTAGCATCTCATCATTCCTGTGTCTCATCTTAAAAACGTCCGATTTCCTTGTCGCAACCTTTATGGCCCTGGTATGTGCTTTCACGAAGGGGTCCGCTAACATATGAAATGAATCGATAGAATTTGGTGGCAAGTTATGGTACCAAATCATTTCTCCTTGTGACAAAGTTTGTCCAAAACTTTTCAACAATACCGAATCAATCTCATCATCATTTATGTCGTTTACTTTAATCCTGCAAGTGTACGAGGTAATATGTTTATTAGGATCGCTCGTTCAATTGTATTTAGGTATATCAGGCATAGGGGATGGGCATCAGATCCGCGCTCGGGGGAAACGGCTTTTGCACAAATATTTTGGCATCCAATCCTTTTAAGAACCGGGGTGCCCCCGATATTTGATCAACATGGGAGTTATAGGTCTCCACTTGTTTGTCATTATCCTCAATCTTTTTCTCCCCCGACTCGATTCTTTTGGTGAGCTCCTCGAGCATCCTCATAATCGTGGGGTCAGTCCCTGAGACATTACTATTCGATCTTTCAAGTACCAACCCAGTTCAGCGAGTGATTCCTGGTTCGACCATACTTGGAGTTTTATGTTGACTTTGAAGCTGAGCGATAGCAATCTATTGAGCTTGTAACATCTCGAATATTACTTCGAGACTAACTCCCCCGTCTCCTGCGCCTTGAGTCCCTTGGCTACCAGTTCGTCCTTTCCTACATACACTCCCTTCGGGATCCGCACCTAAATTTGCATTCAGAGCAATATGCGAATTGACATCAACTGGGTCGGCAGCAGGCACTTCCCCAGGGTTAACCGGTGGCACCCTGACTCCTGGAGCGATTATGTTGTCATTTTCTCCACGGAACCCAAGACCGTCATCACCATGTACGGGTGCATTCTGTGAGTGTGACATGTTTTAACCTGAGAACAAAGAATCTTTGACAAGAACAAGTATGAAAATAACTTGTGTTTTCAGAATCAGTACTGTAATAACCACTATTATCTTTAGCCCCACAGTCGACGCCAAATTGTTTACCTCGAAAATACGAGTAACATAAACTTGATTGTAGTTTTAAAGATATGTGATTTAGCTCAATACTAATTAATAACCAAAAAATCAAACGTATAAGTTAAGGAGATAAGTTGAATCAAACCAATGTTTAAGAAAGTCTTGACCTCGAGCTGTGATGACCTCGAGGTTGGTCAATAGAGTCTCGACCTCCAATGATTGATGATGGTTACAAATGATTGGGGTCCCCTTTATATAGTAGGGGAACCCTAAATGAGGTACATTTCTATTTACAGTAAGGAATCTCATTGGGACAACTATCTAATCACCTAGTACGGATTCGTACTAACTCGTACAAATCTATTCCAGAATTTACACCATGATCTTGAGGACATGGCGGGAATCTTGCTCTTTCTGTTACAAAACCACAACGGCATCATCTCGGAGTTGGTCATACTCGGCTTCGGTGCTCACTGCGTACTCCGATCTTTAAGCCATGTACTCTGTCATCGGGCTCGCGCTTAGTCCATCGGCCTCGAACTCGACCCATCCTGAACTCGGGCTTGAAGCGACTCTTCTAGCCTGTGAAATCGGGCATACCTGATTTCGACCGTATACAACATACACAAGTTTTATAACATCTTAACAGCTCAACATATAGAGAAAATATGCATTTATCACCAAAGGATCATCAACCTTAGCATTTAGTGAAGATATGCTTTAAGAATCGAGTCAATGTGTAGAGATTAACTTATAGAGAGGATCTGTATTGTGCCTTCACTTTTCAATCAAAACAGCATATAGAGAAGATATGCATAAAGAGGCATGTATACATTTTAAAACTATTATATGGAAAAGATATACGATAAAAATATTTATACATTCGAGGTGTTTACAAATAGATAAGAGATGCAAATACCAAACCCCGATAAGTTTTCCATATATACTGCATGTACGTCATCAAGAGAGAAGCATGAGAGGACGACCCTAGGGAGATGGATCCTTATGTTACGACCCAAAATCCCACCATATGGGTTATGATGGTACCTAGTCTCTAAGACTAGATAAGCTTATGATATATTGATGTCAGTCAAAATATAATGACTTAAAATTAACCAAAACTACGAAATATGATAATACCGTCTAACATGGATACAATAAGAAAATTCCCAAACCTGGTAATACTGAGTCATAAGCTCTACATAAAATACATAACAAGTCTTAATGAGTACAATACTGTTTAAATCACATAAACAGTTGAAAATAAAGTAAAGATGGTGACTTCGAAACCGGCGAACAGAACAACAGTGATACCTTGAAGTCTCCAACAAGATCTAGCATGCCTCCTAATGATTAGCTTGATCCAAAGTACCTGGATCTGCACAAAGAATGTGCAGAAGCATAGTATGAGTATACCACAGTTGGTATAAATATCAAGGATAACCTCGATTGAGTAGTGACGAGGGTCAAGTTGTGATACTCACTAGTCAAATAACCTGCACAAGATATCGAAAGAAAACTAACAACAATGTGTACAATGGAATAAATATCAGTAACATCGTAGAGTGTATAATAACAACTCAATATAGAATAAATCATCTTTGCCAACAAAATATCAAACAGGAGTGGGGCATGTGATAGCATATCAAAATCAACTAACAACTCTTAAAACACATGACCAAAACATTTAAGAAACAGACATGTGATCAAAATATTAACCCCGTTCTAACACATGAACAACATCAAAGGAATACCGCAAAATATCGCATAACATTATCAACAATGCCGCCCTTATATCCCCGCATGCGCATCACAATGAAAAACTTTCCTTATGTCGCCGCACGCACATAAGCCATCCTTATCTCATCGCATGCACATCACAATGAAATGCCTCCCAAA